TGGGTAGCTGGATACCCTCTCCTTGTAGGACTAAGGAAGTTAGAGAGACATTGATGGCAAAGCATGCTGGTTCCACGTGTTGAGGAAAGTCTCTGAGAAGACAATCTCCAAGAATACATTTTCTGAGAACTCAGCTAACTTGGTCAGGGGAAGTATTCCTGCAGGAAGTAAGGGAGGAAGTGGTTCTCAAAAGATGAGAAGACAGCCAGTGAAGAGAAGGAAGAAAGTCCCCCAGCAAGCTGACAGGCCTTGGGGGGTGGAGAGGAAGCACGCCTTTCCCTATAGCTTTCCTCTGGGGGAGGAAATCCAGTCTTTGAGAATGGCTGTGGCAGAGGATGTAATACAGTGGTGGGACTGGAGCTGAGGCATGAGCAGGGGACTTTGTGAACCAGCTGAAGAGACTGCACTCTGGTTTCGGCAATTGGGAGTTGTCATGGGTTTAAGCCAAGGCAGGGCACGCTTGCGTTCTCAGTTTGGAAGGCTTATGCTCCCTGCAGCCTGGGAAATGGAGGCAGAGACCCACTCGGGAGGAAGAGCTGCAGGGAGAGGCACATGTGGTTACACTGTTAGGAGCTGGAGATTGGTTTCCTGGGGTAAGGGTGAGAAAGAGGGAGGATCAGGAAAGTCTTGGATTTCTGCTGTGGGAGATGGGGGGGTCTAGTAACACTGCACACTGAGCAAGGGAGATTGGAAGGGTAGGACTAGGGATTGAGGGATGAAAACTGGAAGATCTGTTATTTCCTTTGAGTCTAAAACACTTGCAAGAAACCCGAGAAGAAACGCCCAGAAGGCAGATAAATATGCAGGCCTCAACAAAGATGATTTTGCCAAGCCTCCACGCACACGCATTTGATGCTCTCACTGCAGGACCCTGAGCTTGGAGGGTGCAGACAGCAAGCAAGTGTGGCCCAGAGGAGGGACCAGAGCAATTCTTCAGGAGCCTGTCAGATCCTCAGCAAAACAGCCTGTGGCTCTCCCTACTTCCACTTGGGGCTCAGCAATTGGCACGAAACTCCTCTACAATCAGCCAATTGGAATCCACAATCAGGACTTGTGCAAACCAACAAACCTAGAAAAGCTTTGTGACTTTGCTTTTGCAAGCCATAGAGCCTGAGGAGGAACACTGAAGGCAAACTAACAAACAGGAAGAAGAGTTGTTTAGAAAAAATAATTGATAGGGATTTTGTGCCATACTTTACCATCGAGAACAATAACACATCAGAGAGTACATCATGGGTAAGATGATCACTGGGACTGGCTTATCCCAGGAAACCAACTTCTGATTCTCTAAGCATCTTTAGAAACTTGAAGAAACAGGTTTTGGAAAAATTACACAAAGCAAAGGTGTCTCCTGTATGGATCAGCCTATGGTGTTTGATTAATAGCCAATATTACTGAAAACTCACTATGTCTATCAGGCAAGATTCTAAGCATTTGACATGACTTATTCATAACAATGCTAAGAGGAAGGTACTAGCAGCTCATGTAAGCTACATAACTGGACCTTATTGATTTCAAAGCTGACGCCTAACATGACATGCTAAACATAACATATCACCTCAGGGTGATGTAATGTAAGGCCACAAGAAGGTGTGTCATTACAATCACCAAACCAAAACCGCTCCATTTTTCTTGGGCAACATCAATCCACTTTTGCAATGCACCAACCACAATTCACTCTCCTTAAGATGTAGCCTGTATTTCAAAATTGCATTTGAGGGTAACAGCCACACTGAGAATAAGATGAAAATTATATACCATCTCTCTAGGGAGAACAATTGTGGCTTTTCATCTCACACAAAAAATCAAGAAACTCATGCACCCTAACTCCCAGGTGAAAAATATCTACTCTCTAAGGCATTAACACAACTTAAACCTAACTAATGATGACCAAAGTTAACAACGCTCTTGAAATCAAAAGGGCTTAGAACTTGAAGTACATGTAAAGCTTATCTGTTGGTCAGTAATCAGAGCTGCTATCAGTGTCAGCTGAGTTCTAGATTGCAGGTTTCTCTAGCTCTGCACCGTCAAGGTCCATTATTTGCCATATGGTTCGAGGCTACTCTTTAGTGAATTATTATAGGGTTTCTTCTGAAATTCATGCTTTTAATGACCCTATTTGATCTTCTCTTTCAAAGGAGCTGAAAAATAAAAGGACTCTGAAGAGAGAATGTGTTTACAACAGGAGGAACATAAACTGAACACACCTATATCCCAGCATTCAGGAGGCTGAGGAAAGATGATTGCAAGTTTGAGGCCAGCTTGAGCTACATCTTGAATTAGTGAGACCTTGTCACAAAAAGAAAAAAAGCAAAATGAATGAGAGAGGGAGAAAGAGAGAGAGAGAAGGAAGGGAGGACATAAACTGAGAGACTAATAATCAGGATTTTTTCTCCCAAATCCATACCTAACTGTCAGGGCTGAGAAAAAACTGAAAAGTCACTCCATTTCTTCAGTTTCTCAACCCTGAAATGAGTACAATTATTCCTACTCTTCCTGTGTCACAATGTTGCTTGATGAACCAATAAGATAAAGCCCATGGAAACTCTGAGTCTGCATGTAAATGCAGGAGAAGGCATGATGACGGACAGTGATGACAAAGGAGACTGTGAGTACTTCTTCAAAGCATTGTTGTTACAGTTTCACCGTGTGTCCTCAGCACTCACACAGTTGTATCTGAAGGTAGCTTGAGTCAGACTTCCGGTCGGAGGTAGCTGGCCACCTATTGGATTCACTGTCTTTACATCTAGACTATGTTCACCTTCTGTTTTATAGATTGCTGCAATTTAATGTGGTGTTACAACCCACAGTTACACTGTTGCCACAACTCATGCTTTGTAAATTCAAATAAATCAACTTTTGAAAATAACTCTGAATAAATGCTTCACCTTATTCTTTATAGTTTCTCATCACTTGCATTGAAAGCATAGTCCTTAATGAAGTTAAATGATAGCTTCTAGCTAGTTTCTAAAAGAAACCGAATAAAAAGATGATCACTATTATTTACTTGTCTGAGGATATAAGAAATAGTAAGGTCAATTCTCCCTTGACCTCAGACTTCCTTCCACTCCTTTTCAGTCTCCCCAACTCTCTTCAGGAGCCATGTCCAGGGAGGGTATGAACACACATACATACTGAGTATGGACGGGACCTACAGCACCTTACATTACTGTCACCAACTCTAATGGCCTCCACCAGGAAGGACACAAGGGAAAAAACAATTCCCTTTCATCACTCTCATCACTCTTTCTGCACCTCAAAGGGCTATTTGAGAATAAAGTTAAATATATTTTAAAATCCTTTTCAGCCAGTAAAAAATTTTTTTGCAATCCTGGATTTTCAACACATTGAGCCACTCCACCAGCACTTTCTGTGATGGGTTTTTTTCAAGGTAGTGTCTCAAGAACTGTTTGCCTAGGGTTGGTTTCAAATTTCGATCCTCCTGACCTTCAGCCTCCTGAGTAGCTAGAATTTTTTTTGTGGTACTGGGGTTTGAACTCAGGGCCTTGCTAGACAAGAAATCACCCACTTGAGCCACACCCCCAGCTAGAAATCTTTTTGCAATAAAACATTTACATAAAGGTGAACTATTATGGTAACATCATTTGCGTGACATATAAACCACATTGAACAGCTTAACAATTATTAAAAAAACTTACAACAAAACTTTTAAAGTCTAACATTTTTTTTAGAACCAAGAAATCAGATACTAAAGAGTTCAAACAGAGAAGACCATATTTGGAAGTAGAAATTTGGGAGCATGACTAGATTTAGTCAATCATTCATTCACTTAGTTAACATTTGTTAGTTAAAATTTATTTTTTTATGAATAACCACTGTACATGTGGCACTTATAACCAAGTGGGAAAGTCAAAAAGAAAGCAAATTAATACATAAAAACACCTGATGATGAGAGGAAAACAAGAGGTAAAGGGGCTGCATCAGAGAAGGTCTATGGGAAGACATGACACATGACACTCAGGCTCAGAACTGAAGAGAAGCAAGGCACACAGAGTGACTGCAAAAGCATAAAGACATGAGGAAGCATGGCACATCTGAGGACCTGTAGGAAGGAAGAGTTGCCATAAAGCCTGAGGAGGAAGAGAGTACTATTAGAACAGGTTGGTTAAATATTGTCAGGCCTGATACAATGGTGAGTTTTCAATTTAAATGCAAAGAAAGTCTTTGAAAGATTCTATGAAAACTATTTATCATTTATAAGCAAGAGGGAAAACCAGAATGATAATTTGAGTGGTCACTAGAGTGGGCCAGGCAGGAAAGACTTGTTGTTTGAATGATAGTGGTGGCAGTAGAAGAGAGAAGTTGAGGTTTGAGATGTACTTAGGAGGTAGAATGGAAATAATTTGTTGGCAGATTGGAAATTGGGGGTGAGGCAAGGAAACCAAGGGGGAAAACCAAGGAGACAAGAATGTGCAATCCTAAAATAAGGAGGTGATGAAGCAATCACAGAAGCAAGAAAGTTCTCTGCTCTCCCTTTATTTGACTAAAGCAGAGAAAGACTCACAAAGACAAAGGAGAACCCACAGCCCTTTTCTACCAGGCAGAGCAAAGCCACTCTACCTGCACTTCACCTGGAGATGGTACCAGAGGAATGTACCTTAAGCTCTACGAACTGGCCTTTATCTGTTATTTATTATCCTTCCACAAAATGCCCACCAGTAGAAACTGACAGTATTTTTTGTCTTGGCTCTAAAAATTACTTGTCTTTGTTGAAGATGCTATGAAATCTAGAACTCAAAGCCACCTCTTTGAGAATTGTTCATTCCCTAGATGTCTTCCTTAGGTATAACTTCATATTCATTTTAATAAATGCTTATTTGTTTTTCTCTTGTTAAGCTGTCTTTTGTTGTAGGAGTATGTTTTAACTAAGAACTTATGAGGACTGAATAAAAATTATTTTTCTCTCTCTACAACCCCTAAATATCTGGCTTGAGCAAGTAGATGGGTAGTGACTATGTGCAAGGTATAAAAAGACTCACCAGAGTCCCGAGCATCCTCCTCTACTTTGGGCTGTACAAGTGGATGCACTACTCGAAGTTCACGCGGTGCTACAGAGGATGAGTTGAGGTTAATTCTAACCATAGCCTTCCCGGTATATTTGTTGCCTATCCAGATTGCCTTCTTTTTCAAAGTTGAATAGAAGATATGGTCACCAAAAAGGGACATTGCAAGCAACTGTGCCTAAAAACAATAAAAAAAAAAAATGAAGAATGGCAGAACATTTGCTCCTTGGATTATCATGCTTTCATTCCATCTCCCTTTGTGTTAGAATTTTTATCACCTACCATTTGATTATTTCTCTTTTAGGTTGAAAAGAATATTGAATTTAAATTTTGTTTCTGTCATTATAATTCTGAAATAGTAGGATATAATTTCTAGCTTCAGATTATCAAGGAGAAAAAATAGGAACAGGATACCAGTGAATTTCTGGTTTTGTTAGTTTCACACTTGGCTGATTTCTGCTGCTTTCACAAGCTGGTAACACAGCAAGTCACATGAAAGATGCTTCACAAAATATACCACAAGTAATTCCAAAAAGAATAACAAAAACCAACATATAAGAACTTACTATATGGCAAATGCTCTATTTTTATTTGCATGTATTTACTTAAGCTTTATAATAATACCAAGAAACACACATTATTCCCACATTAAAGAAAGCCAAACATAAGAAAAGTTTTATAACCGAACCAAAATCACCATCTAATAATTTGGTAAATTTATTTTGGACCGAAAAAAATCTATGTGCTCAACTACTCATACCCATTTAGTTGACAAAAGTCAAATTAATTTATCACACAAAGTTCTAATGACAATTGTTTTATTTTATACCACAAGCAAAACCTACTGTGTTTGATGTTTGATGACATGGACAGAGCCTCCATCATAATCACAGGACCAAATATGACAATTGCTTCCTTCCCTATTCTCCTGAACCCAAAAGAGCCGTTTATCAGGCACATCGAGTGACATAGCTGTTATTTTCTCTGGCGTCTCTAACAGAGTCTTCACCTCAATGCCACTGAGGTCTGCTCTGTGAAGGCTGCCGGCCACCTCTGAAGACCAAAATATAAACCTGAGGGCAAACAAATCACATAGACTCATCATTGAATGGATGTCACTGAATGTCACACTCAGTGTTTCACCAGTCCTTGGTTCCTGCACAGAGCCACCTTGACTATTTGGAATGAGAATTCAATTCAACATTTAAGTCTTGCTTGTTATGGAAATCTCATGAGATTTCAAGTTAGAATGAGAATTGTGCTTCAATAGCAGAAAATCTTGGTAGGTAGTGTTTGAAAATGGTGTTGGTGGACTGTACAAAGAGGGCAGTGGTCACAAGGGATCCTTAGACTTTAAGGTGTCATTACTCCAGGAATCTTCATTAGATTTGAAATGTATGTCAATGTCTGAAAATGTCAGATTTTACCTTTTTACTGGATCAACTGCTATCTTTGCAGGATATTTTAAGGTGCTTAAAAGAACATGGGAATGATTTCCGTTCATATCTGTTACTGTAATGATTCCTTCCCGTTGATTTGACCAAATAATTTCTTCATTTATCCAATTTATTGCCATTCCAGAAACATTTTTTTCTATTTTGCATACTCTCTGTAAGATCAAATTTCAAAACTATTATTCACATTTCCCAAGTCACAGCAAAATTGTTTTCTCTCTATGTATAAAAAGTCTGTTCTTTTAAGTACTTGTTATTTGTATGCATCCTCCAAGTTATCTGAATAAGGAACAGTAACAGATAAGGTGCCTTTGTTTTGATGCAGCAATCATACCCATCCCCCATGTGAATATCTCTACATATACTATATATGTCAGACCTTTGGAGCTGAAAATAACCCTGTACACTACTGAAATTAGGCAATCAGCCCTAATGTAACAATATTTTCAACTATAGTAATGGTGGGATTTTGGCAGGGAGGGGCAGTACTGGGGATTGAATTCAGGGCCTTCAAGCACTCTACCCTTGAGCCATACCTCCAGTTCGTAACAGTGGGACTTTGATGCTCAAACCCAGTTTATTCAATTCCATTTGTTAATGGAATTCCCTAAATCCTCACATGAGCCTAATTCCAATCTTTGCCAAACTCCAGCATGATACCCTTGAGCATAAAGCTTTAAAGAGGAAGAATTTCTTCTATTTTTATCTGTCTCCTTCCTTCCTATGGATCTCAGGGCTTTCACACCATGACCAGATAGGCAGGGATTCTGTTTATATGCCTTAGGCTGTTCCCAGTCCTCCATGATAGAAATAACCATCTCCATTTCTCCATTTCCTGATTTCATTCCTAAACAATCAACCAGTCCCCTTGGGACAAGGTGGACGGAAGACCTGATTTGTACCGCTGCAGATTCCCAAGGTGTAATATCCCCACCATTACAGAGTTCCAGCTCCCCATGTAACTTCACTTAACTTGGATTTGGAGAGCTAGCTCAGTCTCAAGCTTGTGCTACTCAACATCTCAAAGCAATCCAGCCAATGCATTTGAGCAACTGCTGATATGTTAGCTCTCCCAGACAAACTGTTCGTATTTTAAGAGTTGTCCTTTGTACACAATGTTTTGACCCAAAGGAGGGAATATAATGGTGGGACTTTAGGTATCAGGACAATCTGTTCCTAATAACTTGACATAACTTCACAACTGTTTCCATTTTTTCTTGTTCTGTGGTACAGGAAGCCTCAGATTCTTAGACTCAGGATTCTGAAACTATTCTACCAGATGGCTGGAGAATACTGAGTAGCTATACTTGTTAAAAGTGAGATTAGCACGTATTAGTGATGTGATAAAACAGATTAGCACCTAATTGAAGCTTTTAGGAATAATTGGAGGAAGAAAGGTTTAAAAACACAATGAACACTTTGTGTTGCGAATAAATGCTTAAGGTTTTGCTAATCACCTGCTCTCTGTAATCCATCTCCAAAGTAGTGAAAGAACATTCCTCCTGGGACTCATTTAAGGGTTCTACCAGTTTAAAAGAAAGATTAAGGACCTTTTGTATGTACTTGAAGTACAATACTTTATATCTGTCCTCTGCTTCATTTTTTTTCAGAGTGCAAACACCTTAAGATTAAAAGGTGTTTAATTATGTCACATAATTTTTTCTTCCAAAATGTCACATAATTTTCCCCCAAATGACAGAGATTATGTACAGATGCAACAGGATTTCTTAATCTCAGCACTGTTGGCATTTTGGGCTGGATAGTTCTTTATTATAGGGCCTGTCCTGCGTATTGTAGGGGGTACAGGAGCAGCCTTGGACTCTACCCAGAGATGCCAGAAAGACCTCTCTCCTATCTCACCTAGTTGTGACAAACAAAAGTGTTCCCAGACATTGTCAAATATCCTCTAAGAGCACAATTGCCCCTCAACTGAGAACCACTGGGGTAGAAAATCATGGAAATAATCTGTTTTAATCATAATGAACTTAAATATTTTCAAAATTACATTCATGTCCTCACATTCTCCTTTTGGGGACTTCTTGAATATCAATTTGTGAGATTATTCAATCATGTAGTATGACCAACACAGGTTAAATACCCACATTTGACAGATGCACATTTGATCCATAATGTATTTTCATTTAGCTATACATTGAGAATTCAATCTATCATATCTGTCAGCCTGAACATAGATGCCTCAAATACCATGGGTAATGATAACTTACCTCTTGACTTGACCCATTCAGAAAAACTCTTTGCAAATGTTGCCTTTCTAAGTCTACCCAATAGATTCTTTCCTCCATGTAATGAAAATCCATGATCACATAGCTGCCAGCATTCACCACTAACTGTTCATGATTCGTTCCTTCTGGGTCAATCCTGAAGATACTGTTTCCATGGAAGAAAATTAAGAAGGGCACAGAACCTGAGTGGGAAGAAAGAAGCCAAACACCATTTTCAATATTTTGTCTTGTCTAAGCAAAAGGCATCCTTATTACAACCAACACCAACACAAGTAGAATTAATACCTAATTATTGATTTTCTATTTTAAATAAATAAAAACTATTGCATAGGGAATATAGAGTTCCTATAAAACTTAAAATTTAAACTGATTATAAGAAATGGGAGCTGGGCACCTGTGGCTTACGCCTGTAATCCTAGCTACTCAGGAGGCAGAGATCAGGAGGATCGTGTTTTGAAGCCCACCTGAGCAAACAGTTGCAAGAACCTATCTCATACAAACTCTTCACAATAAAAAGGGCTGGTGGAGTGGCTCAAGGCTTAAGCCCTGAGTTCAAACCCCAGTCTGCAAAAAAAAAGAAAGAAAGAAAAAGAAATGAGGATTATAAACTACTCATAGAGAGACTTTTTAACTCTGATCTGTTGACATTCTATATGAATGTCAACTTTAATCATGTAAGTTAGAAATAAAATTGCAGATACGTTATTATTTTGGAAATTAACCCCTCTTTCCTCTAACCTTACTTATAACTACAGCTATCAGGTTCATGACATAGAAGATGGTGAAAACTAGAGGGAGATCTTAATGGAAGCAGGAAAAAATTGAATGCTGGGAAAAAAGTGGAATAATGGAGAAAAGTGGAAGGTTGTTCTCCAAAAGTTTGGAAGCATTTCAATGTGGTTGGCTTTACCACACAATATACAGGATGCCCAGCCAAATTCAGATTGCTTGTACAGGTTCAGCATGTCCTATCCAAAAATCTGAAATCCAAAATGCTCCAAAATCTGAAACTTTTAGTGCCAACGTAATGTCACTGGTGGGAAATTCTATAGTAGATCCCGTGTGATACGACAGGTCACAGTGAGAACACGGGTACACTAAAAATATTGTATAAAACCACCTCCTGGCTATATAAAAAAGGCATATATGAAACCTAAAATAATTTTGTATTTAGACTTGGATCTGATCCCTAAGATTCTTCATTATGTATAGCAAATATTACAAATCTGAAAGAATTCAAAGTTGGAAACATTTCTCATCCCAAGAATTTCAGAAAAAGGATAATTAACTTCTATGTTGGTCACACTAAAAACTTATTCTCCATTTACCTGAAGTTCACATCTAATTAGGCACCTCAGATTTTTATTTGCTAAATCTGGGTAGTAGATCTCCCTAGAATCCTGGGTTCTGGCGGGGTATTGCCTCTTTACCCTAACCCTATACCTGGGGTCCTATCCTATTCTAGGTCATGGCCACCTGCCCACTCTGACTCCCCAATTCTCAGCTGCATGGGAACTTGACACCTTCTTCAGAAACCCCAGTACTAATAACTGGCTGACTCCAAATAGAGCTTGCCTTCAATGCTCCCAGGGAACATTAAAGGATGGTTTTGTCCTCCACAGCCAGACTGGTTTTCTGGTTTCTCCTGACCAAAAGGGAGGAGGCTCCTGCTACCCTGCCTTTAGAAAATGATGAACCACATGGGGTGATTGGGGGATTGGAGGAGAATTCCAAGCATATACTTGCTTCCCTGCTGGCCTTACTCCATTCTGTTTGAACTCTAAATGTTAATACCTTAATGGGAGATAGTAAATGCATTTATTGTCCTAAAGATTAGCCAAAATGATGGATTAACATGCTCTTACTCAGAGATCATGTTCTAAAGTCAGAAAACATTAACTGCACTTCAGAGAATACACCAGAATAGAGATAAGAGAGGCAGAGAGATCTGTACAGCCGTGAAAGTTTGGAATCGGTGCCCCTACAAATGACTAAAAGAATGATGAGCTCAAAGTCACTTTCCCATGTCTTTGTGTCAACACCAGCCCCTGCACAGCTGGGGTGGGGCCCATGCTTCTTTGCCACTGCAGCTGTAGCAGCCCAGAGGCATCCTAGAAGAGATGGAAAAGCCACCAGTCAGAGGGCCAGGAATCCTGGCTCCCAGTCCTGGTGGGCAAGCTTCTCTGTACAGCTCACAAGCTTTTCCCTGCCTGTATCATGGGATTATTGAGAAGGAAAATGAACTTCTACATGTGAAAGTATTTTATTAAGTGTGGAGGCCTACATATGTATAATTTACCACTGCTTGTTCCCCAACCAGATTTCACTACATAAATTTGTGCCACTGCTTTGATGTGAACCCAGAGAATGGAACAGTGGTATAATTTGTTCCTAACACAGCTATGAATCATAGAGAAGAATAAGACACTAGGAAGAAGGAGCCTAAATGCATATCTACCAATCTGTGGGCTGAAAGACTATTGCAGGCCTATACATTTATTTTGCCAGGAGTTCTTGGCTATGGGAAGCATAATAAATGTATCCAACACGCTATTGCCTTTCAAATGTATTGATACATTGGTGAGATCACAGCATTTTATTCCTTTAAACTATTACCACTCATGCCTATAATCCAAGTTGCTCTAGAGATGAAGATAGGAAGATCACGGTTCAAGACCAGTCCAGGCAAAAAAGCTAGTGAGACCTTATCTCAAAGAACAAGCAGGAATAGTGGCACACACTTGAAATCCAGCTACACAGGAGGCATAAATAGTTGGATCTCAGTCCAAAGTCAACTCAGGCAAAAGTGAGAGACCTTATCTGAAAAACAAACTAAAAGCAGAAAGGGCTGGGGGGGGGGTGCAGCTCAAGTGGCAGAGCACCTGAGTTCAAACCCCAGTAACACTAACACCCCCCAAAAGTATTAGTGCTGGTGTAGTTTCCATATAAAAAAAGGGAAAAGGTGCTCTATTCATTTTAATATTCCTCACCCCAGAACATAGTACATCCTTTGTAAAGAGTAGATACTCAAAATCTTTGAATAAATCAATAAATAAATATGAAATAATTGTGTTTTGTTTTTCTGAGCTTTTACAAATAGGAACAAAGCCAAAGAGAATAACAGATCTATCAAATTGATAAAAGCAGAGTCTGTCTTGTGGCAGTTATTTCACTAATGGCAATAACAATAACAACACCAAAAAAGTTTTACACTCGATCTTACTTATCCTCACACAACACCACGATCTAGACAGGGTAGATATTAAAATCAAGAAATCAAAAAGAAAAGGAGAAATGTGAAGAATACATAGATCCATAAAACACATATCATAGCATTAATATCTATAACTTTTCAAAGCACAAATACAGACTAATTACAGGAAAACTAAATCTAAGTAGGAATCATTAATATATTTTACCCTCAGATTTTGCCCAGCCAAGGATGAATCAACATCCAGGACTTATACAATTTTAGAACTGGGAGACTCTAGATATTATCTTTCCAGCCTTTCCCAAAATATAGTTCTAAAAGAATGATGCACGGCTCTGTGTGTGTGTGTGTGTGTGTGTGTGTGTGTGTGTGTGTGTGTGTGTGTGTTTGCAGAAAACTTCCAATTCATTCAGCGGGGCTGGGGACTGTTGCATCTCGGTGAATTTGGAAAACATGAATTTAGTTAGGAAGAGGAAATGTAATAATATGTCCGAAAGCCAAAACACTCAGTGGTACAGTTGGAGTCAGAATCCAGGTACCGCCCTCCCACCACATAATAAGCTCCAGCTCTTCCTTGCCTGGGCCTGGGTCGCCAGGTGTCAAGACACCTCTATCTTCAGTACTTTTGTAACTGACTCTAATTCTACTTCCCTCAAAACATGGTTCATTTCCTCTTACCGTCAGCATCATTTTATGTAAACCAGATCCCAGGCTGAGTACTTGTAGGCATGAAATACAACATGAAACCCTTTGAAAATTAGGGTGGACAAAATTGTCATCTGTACTAAACTGGAAATGCTAAATAAGCTAGTGGTTTTCCAGGCTGTCAAGGCCTCTATACACAGCAGCATGTGGTACAGTGTGGGGATTTGAACGTCAGCAGAGTGCGTGTGTTTGAACAGCCAATCGGGTGTTTATTTTGGGTGCAGTTCAGTAAGAGGGAAGTGCGTAGAAAATCAAACACCATTTTGTATGGAACACAAACCAAAGACAGCAGACAGGTCACAGCAAATCAATTGGAACCTTTGACTTCTCAACTTTGGGGTTAGTAGAGCATCTTCACAAATCAGAGGGGTGTCTAGAAGGTTCGCAGCATCTTGAAGCCTTTCATTAGTGACTGACTACAAAGAACAGAGGCCTCCATGGCACAGGAGATGGGCAATAACATACAGGGTTTGACTGAAGTAAACAGCAGAAGTGGAATATTTCACAATAGGCAACTTTTGCTCCTCTGTGACTCTGTGGGACTGGCCCTCGCAGGTGAGTGAGAAGAACCTTTCTGCCAACCTGCTGGGACCAAGGTTCATGGGAACTAATTGCCACATAAATGATACAACCAGTTAAACAAGAAGGCCGGTCCATACTGTCACCTCCCCTCACCACCACAGGTTTCTTGCCCCAAATCTGGGAACAGATGATAAAGGTGAAAAGAGAAGTTACGGGTTTCAACACTCAATGACACCATGAGAAAAGAATGTAGCTCCAAACTGCCAAAGTGGCTGTAAGAAAGTCTGCCTCCTCACACTGCTCCACCTCCCAGAGTGAGCCCTGCAGAGAGCAGCCATTCATCTCCATTCCCCAGGGGAGTGACTGACTATACCTTAGGTTTTATGAAGTGCAGAAAGCTTTATGTCATGCTGAAAAACCATCTCATCTCCTTTTCCAATTATGGTGTTAAAGGAACCCAAATTTACTTTTTGGACAATCACAGCTTTCTTCTCAACTTACTCATTAATAACAAAATTCGAGGCAGGTAAGAGCGAAATAATATATCCAGGTGACTCAGAAATAGTACACCTGGAAAGAGATGCCAGGAAATTTGAATTTAAGTCTTCACCTACAGGGTGAACATTCTGGGACTTGATTTTGCTTCCTGAAAAATGGGAATGGAGATTGCTACCCAAGCCCCTGCATCATGGTGGTAATGTGGCCTCCAGAGCAAAAACAGACCCTGCTGTCTCTCCCCACCTT